CACCACTAAGACTGTGTTCAGTCTGTTTTAGGAGTGGCAGCCAGGGTACTCTTGGAAGTAGCCTGCCACTTGGTTTTTCTTGCCAACACTTGGAGGATCTGTCCCGAATAAGCATAAGGCAGCAGGAAGCCCCAACATGCATCGCATACATGCTGATGAGCCACCAGCGTCCTTCATGGGTACCACGTGTCCCCTCAAAGCCAGTGTCTACTGACCTTTAGTCGCACTCGGAGGTTCCTGTCAGACAGCAAGTGGACGCACCTCTCCATCACATCTTTGGCCAGCTGAGCGTGGCTTGGCAGCGGAGTCTCTCCTTCTGTGTCAGGACTGTTTGGCTCAGGCTTAGCAAGCGGGGGGACTCCACCTGGAAAACAAAACCATGATAATGACTTGAAGTTCTGAGAGATCCCAATAACCACCCACTACTCTTCTGCAGATTCCCAAATAAGACCTTTGGCATCTTTTTGAACATGTTTAGGTATAGTGAAGTCTGTGTTTGAGTTCTGTGAGTTAAGCGGCCGATTCGGTGAGACTGTGGGACTGGGGAAAGAAAGGTTTGCTTTCTTTACTGGACAGTGTTGTTAGCCTGACATTTGCAGTCTCTCCTCACCACAGACTTCTTTATTTCCCATTGATTTTTATTAAAAATGAAAAGCCTGGGTATTTAAAGATGAAGTATTTAAAGGTCAGGATTGCAGCACAGTCCAGTCAAGAGACAGCAAATGTTCCCCATATGAATGTCTGCAGGGCCTGCCAAGGCCAGCACACACAGGAAGCAGTGTCATCATAAGTCAGGAAAGAAATGCTGCAGGGATTCTCAAGGGGAGGGGAGGAAGATGCAATAGGATTCTGGAAATGGGCAAATTTGGGCCCTGAACCTCACGTGCAATGCCCAGTTATGAGGTGAGGAAAAGCATAGTAGTTTTTTGTGTCCAAGAGCTAGGCAAAGCCTTGATGTGCAACTGTTTTACCTTATTTTTTCTTTGCTTTCCTGAGCACAGAGCTAAGCAAGAACACCCAGCAGCACCTTATATGGGCTAAAGCCTGCTCAAAGTGGACCCAAGGCAGCCAGAAGCGTGGTAGTATTTCAGCCTGGTCCCACGTCCTCCAGTTGGCAAAAGGAAACCTCAGAAGTCCCTGTCTTTCCCTCGGCTGAAGGTACTTTTCTCCAGTCCTTCACAGTACTGACCTGCCGCCTCCTCCTCCTCATCCGTGTCAGGGAGATTGCCCTCTGCAATCTGCTTCTGTCTGACATAGTCAAGGAAGAACTGCGCCACTTCTTGCCTTGTCACAATCTGCTGCCGCTGCTGCACCTGGGACAAAGTTCTGCTCCGCCACTCAGCAGTCTGCCCTTGTTGGTATCCCTCGCTGCAGGACGTTCCAAACCACTGGACTGCAAAAGAGGAACTGATAAGTCACAAAGCAGTCATGATCCCTTCCCGCAAGTCAGCAAGGTACCACAGATTCCTTGAGAGAAGAACATGACTTAAATCTTGTGGGACTGAACTGCAGCATGAGGCACCAGCTATCAAATCACCATGACCTCCCTGATGGTGTAAGAAGAGTATGCTAAAACCCTGATGTCAACAGGCATACACCCCATGTGCTCCTACAGAACACTTACGGGAGGAGTAAATCCATCCTTTCTGAACTGGCACAGGTTATGCTCCTACAGTGCTGAAGGCCAGACAAACAGGAAACTGGTTGTGGATAGTGGCCAGTCAGCAATCTTTGCCCAAGAGCTGGCCCATCAAGCACAGCACGGCTGTCACCATGCTGCAGTATCTCATCTACTCGAAACTGCCTTTGGACTATCCCACTGCAAGTTGAAAGGTCAGAGACAAGTACGCTTAGTGACAGTAAGATTGAATTATGCAAAGTAAGCATCATTTAGATACCTAAAGCTGCCATTAATGAGTAGAGGACCCTGAGGAAAGTGGAAGCCTGGTTATCATAAGACTGGTCAAGTGTAGACAAGACATCTTGGATGACATCTTCTACCAGTGGCAGCAAGCTGGCATCTGAATGCCTCAGCATAGTGTCCAGGACCCGGGAAGCGTGTGGCTGATGTGCCAACTGGCGCAAATTCAAGGAAATCCCATTCACCAGATAGTCAGAGTTCTCATTAATCAAACACCGCATGGAGTCATAATTGCAGGCCTCACATATGTCTACCAGTGTCCCCATTGCTGTCTCACTAATGAGTAGAGTCTTGTCACCAGCCTTTTCCAGCACA